AGCCGAAGTTCTCCTCTGCCACCAAAGACGTCAGACTTCTACCCGACGTCGGATCTTCACTCTTCGCTAAGTTTCTAACCGACGCCGGACTTCTACCGGTTATCGGACTTCGTTGGACGTCTATGCGAAGATGCATTTGTTTCTATTGCTGGACTTCTGCCTGACGCTGTCATACTGATCTTCGTCGTCAGACTACAGTCCTTCCGACCTCCGTCGCCAGCCGACTACGGTCCTCCTGACTTACGTCGCCCGCCGACTACAGTCCTCCATCGCCAGCTGACTACGGTCCTCCTGACCTACGTCGCCCGCCGACTGCAGTCCTTCTAACAAAGCGAACATGTCAATAGTGATTCTTTGTATTTACATCATGTAATGTACTCCATAAGATGTACATCAAGCTAAGGCCTTCTCCCAAGGAAGGGCCTCATTTGTAATCGACTGCAATACTAGTGGATTCATTCAAACTGGGCTTGGCCCCGTGGTTTTTGCCCCTTTTACAGGGGTTTTCCACGTAAAAATCTTGGTGTCTCATAAATGCTAGACCCTCTCTCCTTATCTGATTGCGTGCCAGATTTTCGTACAACGCTAAGACGATAAACTTTATATTTCTCTACCGCCGCAAATACTCCTGGACGCAACAAAAGTCATTAAGGATTGGTTGCTCCATATAGAAATATTCTTGATAGAATGTCATGCTATTAGTATATGAATGTTCCTCATGCAATATTGTATTAAGGTGAGGCTAAAGGTGGTGGATATGTTAATAAATAGAAAGGTTTAAGGGAAGGGAGAATTCAATTAATTTTTGAGTTAAGTTTATTAATGTATTTAAAGATTAGCTTTATAAGAAAGAATTCAATTAAGATCATGCAATTTCAATAAAAAAAAAACACTTAAATTTCTAAAAATTTGTATATAATCAAAGGGATTAAACCTTCTAATAGAGTTTTTGTGAATTTTGGGAGAGATAATGAAAATATTATTTCAAAATTTTATAAATAGAGTCTCATATTTTACATGAAAAAATATCTAATCCCGCTGAAGGCGCGGTCCACACGGCGGGCTAGGCTGGGCTGTGGAGCCGATTCCATGCGGGCGGGGGCGGGACTGGGCTTGGGCTGGCAGAGACGGTTCCATGCGGGCTTGGGCGTGGCTGGGTTGGAGGAGCGGGTTCCACGCAGGCTGGGCGGTCGGGCTGCTGCTTAGTTATTGTTTTAATTTTTTTTTTATTTTTCTTGACATTCCGGGGAAAAAAAAGTTTGCCGGAAATATTTTTTCAGCGGAAAATCCGTCGGTAATACGTCGAAAATGTTTCTGGCTTATTATTTTGAGCTGGAAGGTCTTTTCCGACGCGCGTTAAATTGACGAAATTATTTCCGCCGTAAATGCAAATTTTTGACCGATTTTGGCCATTTTTCGACAAAAATGGCCGTCGGAAAATGACATTTTTCCTGTAGTGAACCTACTGTCAATATCAATATTGACACCCTCCGACACCAATAAGGTCGTTACCCACTGTCACTAAAAATATTGTTGCTTGACATTGCCAATAAGGCTAGAGTATGTAGACAATACAAATACTAATACATGCACGCCATCACCAATAAGGCTTATGCATATCATTAACATTAATGCATTTCATCATCTACAACAATGCTATTGTATGTTTCCTTTACCAACACTGATTGACGCTATCGACAATAAGGTTAAGGCACATCAGCAACATGAATGTTGATGTATATTATTACCAATAAGGTCGATATATGCATGCTATATATTAACTCTAAGTTAGTCATTGCCAATAAGGTCATTGCATGATGTTGATATCAACCCCAGTCTTCATCATCACAAATAAGGCTAGTGTACACCTTCGAAACTAATGCTGATGTGTGTCATTGTCAAGGAGGCCAAGACCCTCCATAACCATTAAATTAAATGCCTGACATTGCAACCAAGCTGATGCACACCCTAAAATCTAATGTTAATACATGCCTTCAACCTCAACACTTTCTATCACCTACAAAATTGTCATTTATCATTGTCGTCAATGTAATTCCCAATAATGACTTCAATAATGCCAACATCTGCAATTGACACCATAACCTATACTAATCTTCGCTTAGTATCTAATCTCACCTCCTTTAACGAGAATGATCAAATTGATCACATATAAGCTCTTAAAGATAACTTTAACACCTTCATACTCTTTTAACTTCCACCATTAAAGCCATCATTTATAGTTCATGTTTGTTGCACTTTAATTATGTCTTCTATAATTGTGGAGAACATCATTTATAACATACAATATAAACTAATAGAATCATTTCAATTTGGCAAAGCTCCATAATTTTCTCCTTATGTTTCAATGCAAGAAATATTTTGTTTTCTATAAACTACTCTCAACTCATCTTATTTGTGTGTAATTAAAATTTTCATACAATATAATGATTCTAAATGTTTGCTCTAATTCCTTGACTAATGTTCTATCATGCATGCAACAAAGATGAAAAATATTTTACTTGTAAGCTCTTTGATGAATGTATTTTAAAAAGGATATTATAATGAATTTTGACATAGAGGTAAATAGATGATGATTTTCGTGCAATGAAGAAGTATTATGCACAATTTAAGATTTCTTATCATATAAGTTAGATTATTATTATTATTTTGCTTTGTAGGTCGATATTATTTAAAAAAACATTTTCTTTTAATTTTTTGTCTATTTATGTTAGTTTAGAAAGTCAAATATCTTATTTTGTTTTATTTTAATAGATTTTTTTTATTTGCCAACCCTTTCTTAAAATTTTGTTTCAATCACTATTTATGTATACCATTCCCATACTAATAATCCCATGCATATTTTATGAATAATTTATTTTCAAAATTTAGGATGCTTTTCAACAAAGCATAAACGTACAATAATTGTGCTATTAATTGGAATGAAAAAGAAAAGCTTCTATATATTTAACTGAAATGAAAAGCAAATGACAAAAAACAATTTATTTCTATTATTGATCCCATAAACCAATTTCAGCATGATGAACCTTCCCTTTCTTCTATGATTCATAAAATAATCACATGCTGCTTCTTTCCACTTCTACTATCAGAAAAGAAAATAAAAAGAAAACCCCACAAATTATAGTTGAAGGGTGATTAAAACCCCTTAGACTTTACAGTTATGGGACTTCTAACATAATGTTTGTTACCATCAGACCATTGAAGGAAGCCAAAAACATAATCTTTTGCAATATAATCATCTATTGGTGTCAAGGTAAGTTTAAAAGTTTTCTCCTCGCCAACCTCTTTAAATGTGAGACTTGTTGGCTTTACCTTTACCGTTATCCCAACTGGGCTTCGTATGCGTACCACATATGTTCCTGGTGTGCCAACATTTTTCAACTTTCGAGTGATGGTAATTGAATCTTCGAGGTTGGGAATTGTGATTGAAGGATAGTTGAGATCAACCAAAGCTGGAGCTTTTGATGGGCATTTGTATGTCTTGAAGGTGGATATTTGAGTAGAGTTGTAGCCGAGAGCACAAAGGAAGTTCAAGTAGTCATTGGCTGTAAGGTCATATACAAGACCCGGGTCCATGGCTCGGTTGGGTCGAACATGTCCTGACCCATAGCCAAAAGGGTTGGCTTTGCCAAAAGATGCATTCTTGATTGGTTCGACCATGTTATCTCGTACTCTTGCTGTACATTCATTAACATGATGTTCACATTGTCATTTAGAAAGTCACAAAGATATATAGTAAGTTCTACTTAAGACCAAATTGGTGCATTTATAATAACACATAAGAGTCATCAATATAGGACTCACTAATTCTTTTTAATGAAGAAAAACATAGTACATTAAAATCTCACCGGTGGTCATGATTGATGATTTGATAGCAGAAGGGCTCCAGTTAGGATGAGCAGCTTTGAGAAGGCCGACAATGCCAGAAATGTGAGGGCAAGACATGGATGTACCAGAGTCTGAGTTAAAGGGGAATCGACGTTTGTCGAAATCAAGACCAGAAGGTGAGGTTGCTAAACTATAAGCGGCTATAACACTCACTCCTGGAGCTGTTATATCAGGCTAAAAAAAAAGGAGCAACATGTTAGGATTATGAAGACGTTGCTGACAACATGCAACAACAGAATCATATTTAGATGAAAGAAAACCAATTGAAATGTGTCACATGTCTTTTGAGGGTGTCGACCACACCTGATATGAAAATCACTCATGTTGCTTTAAGATTGTGTACTCACCTTCAGGATTTCAGGAGTGATGGTGTTGGGGCCTTGAGATGAAAATGCAGCCATAACTGGTGCTGGCTTTGTGCCAAGCTCAGTGATGGGACGTGTAATGGAACCCTTTGGTGACCTATAAGTATAAACATGCATCACAATCAGTGCATATAGTTTTTAAAATTTTTAGTTAAACAAAATGTTTGAAATTGCTTCATCCAAGAATATTTCAGCACCAATATATTTCAAATATTTAAAAAATTTACAAAAAAGTATAAATGTGCAAATAAATGTATTTAATTTAAAAACAATACTATTTAAATAAGCAAAAAAAAAAAAAGCACTCAAAATTAAAATTAAAGATATTACATGAAAGTTCATGCATGATAATGCATAATAATTGAATAATTCAAATGCAACATGATAGAAGTGCATATAATATTATAAATAATCATGAGATTATTATAAATAAAGAAGAAGTCATGTTATGTAAGCCTTCGAACTATTTCAAATTGTATTTTAACATTCTTAATCCATATTAAGAGAATAAAAAAAATAAAATAAAATGTAGAAAGTGTGAAATATTTACTTGGTAGACTTGATGTAGGAAAGAAGCTTGAGGCCGTCGGAGTAGGTGATATGGGTGGCCGGAAGGACGTGAGCGTCGGCGATGGTCTCATCTCCGGTTAATATATCATTGGCTAAAACCATACCAGCGCCGCCAGCTAACTTGACCGCCTCGCCCTTCTCCACCCTCCCAAATACTCCTCTAGTACACACCACAATTTTCCCCTTCACCTTCTTCTTGTCCAAACTTCCAATCTGGCACAAATCTCTGCAATTTTTTTCATCTTTTGTAAGTAAATATATAGTTACATGTGGCAGATCTCAATTTTGAAACTTACGCATCATCGATGGAAGCATTGGGTGTTGCAGCGTCAAGAGAACGAATAAATCGGTACAGTTTGTTCGTCGGCAGGCTCTCGCTTGAAAGGCTCTGCCCCTCAACTCGACGATTATGGTCGAAGACGACATAAGAAGGGAACTCCCTATCCATGGTACTAGCTCCAACGGTCATCATCCATGGCGACACGTTCGACACCGTACCCGCCTCAGGCCCCGAGTTCCCCGCCGACGTAACAACCGCAATCCCATTATTGACGGCATGGAAAGCCCCGACGGCCATCACATCATCGAAATAGTCCGTGTCAGCGCCACCGAGGGAGACGGAGAGGACATCGACGCCGTCTTTAATAGCGGCTTCGAAGCCGGCGAGAATGTCGGCGTCGAAGCACTCGCTTCCGTTGACGGGAGGCCAACAAACCTTGTAGGCGACGACGCGGGCTCGAGGAGAGCCGCCCTTGGCCGTGCCGTTGCCATAGCCTTGAACGTTGGCGCCGGGCACAAAGTTGCCGCCGGCGGTGGAGAGAGTGTGGGTGCCGTGGCCGTCGGTGTCGCGGGGGCTGTTGAAGGTTGAGTTTAGTGGGCCGACGACGGCTGCGTAGCCCTTGTTGAAGTATCGAGCGCCAATGAGCTTCCTGTGCACAATACATTCAAGAGATTACTTTGGGAAAAACTCCCATTGAAATATTCTGATCTGAATCTTGTTCTTGAAGAGTTTAAGATTCATTGATTTACTAAGAGATACGTGTAGTATGAGCATACTAACTTTAGCTAGGATCTATTATTTAAGATAATTTTTTAAATATTTTGATTTTTAATAAATCTCAATCATAATTTTATTTGACAACTAAAATTTTAAAACTATAAAATTGCTTTATAAGTGTGGAAATCAGACCCAAAGAACAGAACATAAAAGCATAGCGGTGAATTATAATTGCAATTTTACTGTTTAGCATCACACAACTAGACTGGTTCTCCTGATCGGAACTCTACACATAATAATCTCTCTCCAAATAAAGCCTTGGGCTCATTTGATTGCTTGAATGTAATAAATATGCCTTAAAAAATGTGGTGAGCATATTAATCATTATTGCTTAAAGCTCCCAAAATCCTATTTAAAAATTTTCCTAATCTCCTAAATATAATAATTTCGATTTCACAACATAAAAAATTAGTGAAGATTATTTTATTATTTTCCAAAATATATGTTTTATATCTGCAAGCAATAAATGAAATGCCTCATAATGTAAGAAGTTTAAAGCAATTCATACGGATGCAGCTGACTCAAGCAATAGTTTACTAATCAAAAATTTTAATAACAAATCAACATGCAATTAATAGGATGATCACAATAACATGATGCGCTAAGATAAGCTTAATTTTCATTAATTAGATGTTGAACAAATAAATGTTTTTTTAGTGAAGCATTACTTCTTATTCAAAGAAATTTGGTAAATGCATCAACAATATTTAGCTCATAATTTTATGGGATTCTTTATTATAAAAGAGAAGGATGTACTAAGAGTATGTCTCATTAATAAATAAGTTTGGTAAAGTTTGACTTACTCAATTTTAACTTATTTATATTATTATGATGCCGATATATAATTTTACAATATTGGATGCCTTTCTAATTTAGAAATTTTACATAAAGATTCAAAAATTAGGTTTATGTCCTTCCCTAAAATTTTGGGTTGAAATCAAATTAAGCCTAAGCCCATGACTTTAAAAATCAGATTAGATCTCCCAGAGTGATCAATTCAACAATACAATAGTCGTACGACTAGTGAATTGTAGCCTAAAATTGACTTCTACATTGAATGTACAAAAATCGATCAAAATTGTCAGCTGAATCATACAATCAATGAATCAATCAGTTCTAATAAAGATCATATTTCTAGTTTTTTTTTTTAATTTTGATCAAATGACTATAATAAAAGATTCAATCGTTCAATCAAGTTCGAATATTCTATTATTTATATTTTTATAACTTTGAATTTAAATATTATTATTATCCGCAGTTAAATATCATATAAATTATCCTAACATTACATCCCAAAATTTGATTTAGAATTATGTTTAAAATTAATGAGTGCCCTAATTTACAATATTAGAAATTGTATTAATAAAAATATTTTTCATCACATTATGATTATAATATCATTTGAATTACTTTAAAATAATTTTATTGTTTTTATATCGCCTAATTAGATACAAATCTAAAGTTTTAACCTATTAATTCCTTTTAATTTTATGTTCCATTCAATATTAAAAGTGTTTTACAACTTTTAATTAATTAATTAATTAATTATACTGCAATGTATGTACAGAAGCATCATAAATCTATTTTTATTAATAGATCCAGTCTAATACAGTTAATCTGTCAGATTTTCAAAATTGTACAAACACTAATAGATCCAAAGTCAACCCTATTAAAAATATAATAATTGCCAGAAGTTGATTGGCCTCGAATTGAGGATATTCACGTTGGATCTTGCTCTGTACGAAGCAATTAATGGAAAACTATGCGATTGAGAATTTAATGTAATATTGGCTTTTAATGGTAAACATTTAAGAATTCGTCAGCAAATTTTTACAAAAAAAAAAATCATTTTTTTAGAATTGATCCTTAACTTTTTTTTTCTAGTATCAAAATAGTTTATTACTATATAAAAATATTAATTTTGAGTCTATTTGTGACAATTTTGTTGCTATGTTTTAACCTATTTTTAAAACAAAAAATTTTGAATTAAAATTTTTATATATAAAAAATTACTTTAAAAAATACTAAGAAAATCATCTAAAACAAAACTTTATAGCATTAACTCTTTAAATAAGGACAAAATTAATATATGGGTGCAATTATTTAGATCATGAATATTTTAAAAAATCAAAGGATAAATAATAAAAAATCATTTTAATTCTTTGTAAAAATCATGGATCATTTTGATCATTATCTCATCATGAATAACAAAAATTAATTACAAATGGAGCATGAGATATAAAAATCCGGAAGAATATTTTGTTTTCCAAATCAATATTTTTAAACAATAAAACAAATAATTTTATTTTAAAGATTATTTTTATCCTATATTATCCTTCCTTCCTTTTATACCCTATTATACATATATGTAATGTGCTAAATTATATAAAAAAAAATATTTTATAGCAATGATATACCACTATTATGAAAAATTTCACATACAAAAGCTTTATGCTCATTATTATTATTATTATTATTGGCATATTATGAAAGAAAGTTGATAGTCAAGAGCCAAAAAAAAAAAATCTAAAAGAATAAGTTGGTGGAAATTGCTGATCTTGAAGCAGGATCATACTAAAAACCAAAAAAATAAAAAAAGAAAAGATAAATATATGACCAAATTAAATATATTATCCATTCAAAATGGTGGTAGGTTCTATTACAATATAATTGAAGTCTTCGCTCTTTCTACACAATTACATATACTATTTGTTAGGAGTATGGCCGTTGTTAAAGAACTTATGAGATTCTGAAGACAAGCAGACGTGAATTATTATGATTTATTACTATATAAATGTTTATTAATGAGCAAATTGGCACGATGTTTAATTAATTAGGCCAAGATAAGATGGCTTTTTGCTAATCATAGCTGTGGTTTGTATAATTGTCAATTTAATATAATAATAATTTATTTATGATTGCCAGCCAAAACTGATTAGAGAAGAAAACCAAAAGGGTCGATTAAATATTAAAAATATTATCATTAAAATTTCATCAAAATGTGACTAAGGTTTCGTTTGAGATATTTTTTTAATTATTTTGATTTTTCAGATCCAAATTATTATTTTTGTTTGATCATTATTTTTATATTTGAAAGTTGTTTTTACAACAGCTAAAAGAAATTACTTTTTCTATAACAATTTTACAAATCAATAAAAAAGCTATTTCAAATGGAGCATGATATAAAGAAAATGGTTATTAACTAAATAATGCATATTTTAAACATTATTTTAATTTTAATTTTAATTTTAATTTTGTGTGGTTAAAAAACTATTTTCTGACCCACGAAACTGCTTTTAAAAGCAAAAATAAAAAATTTAGGATTCGTTTGGAATGACTTTCTTACATCTTCTTAAAGTAATTTTCTAGTATAAAAATTTTAATTTTTATACTAAAAATTTACTTTAAGAAATAATAAAATAGCCGTCTCAAATGAAGTCTTAGTATTCATTAGGAACAACTTTTTTACAGTTTTTTTAGAGCAAATTTTTAGGATAAATTTTTTTGAAATAAAATCTAAAGCAAAATATTGAAAATTAGTAAATTTTTTTGAAATATCTCAAAACAAAAGAGGGGTGGGTATTGGAACCTGTTGCAGGAGAACTTCTGGTTACTGTCATTCTGGCATATTCCCCTCCATTTAGAAGGAATGGGTCCCATATCATCATCCCTGAAGCTCTCAGCCTCTGGCCAGACACCTGTACAAATCCAACACCAAAAAGGAATAAAAAAAAAAGAGAGGAAGTGATGGTGATTTGACAATGATCAAAATGTCATCGGTAGCAATAGAGGAAAGAGGGGGCCGAAGAGAGCAATTGGAGAAGGCAGACGGGACCATGCTACAGTTTCTTAAAGACTGTATGTCTAAGTGTATCTTTTCAATAAATCATTACAATTTTGAATATATTTTTAAAAATTATTTATTAAAAAAATGGATATTTTAAAATACTTTTTTTATTCAAATGAAATGATGCGCAATATAATCATAATTTAAGGGTCTATTTGAAATAGCTTTTCTGTCATTTTATTTTATAGGGGGAAATAATTTTGAAAATAAAAAGCTACTTTTACAATTAGAATGATTAAGGCTTAGTTTCAGACAGCTTCTTTGCTACTTAAAGCAGTTTCTTAGTACAAAAAATTATTTTTTGTACTATAAAGCTTCTTCAAGAAGTAGTAAGAAAGTCGTCCCAAACGAAGCTTAAGTTATTTTTCTCGCAACAACTTCACAATCAATAGTAAAATTAATATTAGCATTCTTAAAAAGATCCTAAGGGTTCCTCTGTGTTGGCTGCAGTTTTTATAAAAATGGTATTAAAGCTGCTAACTACAGAAAAATCATCTATTATTGGTGGATTTTCCGGCTTTTACCGGCGAAAAATAGTTTCGCCAGAAATTCGCCTGAAAAGCATTTAAATCCGTTGAAAAATGAATAATTTTTTGCCGTGATTTTCCTTTAGTGGTTATAGGAAAAACAATTTTTAAAAAAAGTTGCAAAAAATAATTTTTTTATAAAAAAGTTGTAAAAACAATTTTCTTACACAAAATTTCTTCAGAGCAATAAAAAAAATAATAACCAAATAGACACATGCTTTGTGTTCGCAAAAAAATAATAAAGTTGTCCCAAATAAATCTTAAGTTTTATGTAGATCATCAAAACAATTGAAATTACCAGAATTTAATAGAAAACATGCAAATGTCAATAACAACAACTTTAATAACGAAAGGTCAAAGAGAATACCAATTCTCACCAAAATGGTAGGGAAAGCCAAATAAATGCCAAGTCAATTTGAAAGATCGGAGTTTCTATGTTTTAGTGCTTGAGAAAGGCCTTAACCTAACGTCATTAACCTCTCATTTATATTGTAAGTGGGGATGTTGAAACGATCCAACTCAACGTTTGAGGTTCATGAAATTTGTTGCAGTTTTTTATTGTTTTTTTTTTAAGTAGATTTTTTATTTTTTTTTTCTAAAAAAATGCTTTAGAAAATAGTTAAAAAACTGTCACAAACGAAGCATTAGGCTTCATTTCGGATAATTTTATTACTGCTTTCTAAAATAACTTTTCAGTATAAAAATTTAAATGAAGCCTAAACCTAAACTTTAATACCCATTTCCCCATCTCAAATAGATCCTAAATATTTTTCATATTTTTGTTTGAATGTCTCTAAATTGCTGATGAGATTATTGGCTAAGAAATTCAAACTAGTAACGCAAGAAAAGCCAGCTTTGACCTTCCCACCCAATGAGTGGATACCGCAATGACCACCAAACCAAATTAGAATAACAATCACATATTTTTTGTCAGTGATGCTTCCTAATTCTGTGCAAGTCAAAGATTTAGACGCGTATAACTTGTAAAGTTCCCCTTTTTCTTCTATCTTTTTTTCCTTTTCAAAATTTTCTATAATAAGCACTTTTAATATACCAAAAAGGTTAACGAAGAGAAGATTCATATCATACCAGTATCAAGATTAGCGATAATTACATCCTCTCCAAATCTAGCTTTTGTCCACAGTGATTTCTTAGGGACTCTGCCATTTCTCTCCAGGCCAAGGAACTGCCATGAACGGGTTGTGTGAAGCTTGCGTCCTCTGTTCTCAAAGACAGAAACAACGCTTGGATTCTCTGTGAAAGATGCAATTGAAAAACTTTAATACTAATTGAATAAAACAAATGGAAGGAGATGGGGAAATGTGGAAGAAAAAGGAAATTTGTCTCACTTGAGATCTGCACAGCGTCTTCCTCCTCGAGGATTGCAGCGAAGCCATTCATGTACCTTGTGTAGGAATAGAAAATTGCTTCCTTGGCCCTCTCCTTGCTGCATTAATGTCAAATCCTCCAATACTTTTAACCAAACATTCCAAACAAAAAAAAGGAAATTTTAAAAGCAATATATCTTAGCGATCCTGTACCTTTGGAGGTATGATTCTAAGAGTTCATAGTGGGATTCTCTGACCGTTTGATCAACATGAGCAGTTATTTCTTCAGCAGAGTTGGATTGGGCTCCAAGGTAAACAATATAGGACTGCAACAAAAAGAGGAACGGAGGAGAAATGAATCACAGATTCGCTGTGAAAGCTTTGAAAAAGATGAGATCTTTTTGACGGAAAAGTTGAAAACATCAATAAATGAGAACCTTTTGAGCAGCAAAAGCCGGGCATTGAAGAAAATAGAAGGCTGTGATGATAAGAAACGGCAGAAAACTCGCTGTTTTCTGGATCTTCATCTTTGCTGTTCTTTCTCTTCGGCTGAAGCGGAAGAGAATGGTCTGCTTCTCCTTTGTTTATAGAATGGCGAAGGTTCCAATTGAGGAAGTTGAATCAATTACGGCTCAATGAGTGATTTTAAAAACGGTATTGATAATATAATTAAATTTATTTATGTTTTTATAAAAGAAAAAAAATCCCTTTGCATTTCCTTTCCCGGCCGGCGATTAATTTGTCTTTAATTGCTAATATGAATATGACTTAATTGTTTACAGTTACCGGCTTGAAGCGGCATATATAGCCAAACCTAGGACGCTGGGGTTTGGCATTAAAAGGGACCGATAAATTGACCAGGACATCCCATTGGTTCATTCTACACATTCATACGTAGGTGGGATCCACGTTGAACCAAAAATAGTTCATGATTATTTATTTCACCATTATGAAGCCTATTTTAGCCTTTTGGGGGATTTCTATAATTCACTCAATATCTAAAAAAATATAATATTTGAGCATTTGATTTTTTTGGGGGATATTATTGAAAAAATGAGAATAACTAGACTAACTTATTATTTAGTTACATATATGTTCTGATATATTTGTTGCATTATGAAATATTCGCTACGATAGAGAGTGATATAGTTTAACGTCTTAGTTTTGTATGAATATCAAGTATACAAACAGATAAGAGAGTATGGTTATAGCATTTATAAGGGTTACCATAAATTTTATGTGGAAATCCCTGAAAATGAGAAAAATTATAGGGCTTAGCCTAATTTGAATAAATATACTACTGTTTGCAATCGATTACAAATGAGGCCCTTTTTTAGTAGGAAGGTTTTGACTCGATGTAGCAAATATAAATCATAAAATGGGCATTATAAAGTGGGAGTTGGAAGAATCAGATTTGATAAGTTCGTTTGGGCAGCAAAACCATAATCGACAAGCAATATAGATCTGAATGATTGTAATCAGATGACTGTGGTCAAAAGGATCGTAGTCAGGCGACAGTGGTTAGAAAAACCTTAGTCGGTAGATGACGGAGGTCAGGAAAATTATAGTGGGAGATGGTGGTCGGAAGAACTTTAGTCATGGACGACGGTGGTCGAAAGGACTGTAGTCGGCAGAAGACGGAGGTCAGAAGAACCGTAGTTGTCGATGGTGGTTATAATGACTATATTCAACAGGAGACGGAAGTCAGAAGGACAGTAGTCAGCGATGGTGGTCGGTAGAACTGTAGTTGGCGAGCTATAGTGGTCGAAAGGACCGTAGTTGGCGATGGTGGTTGGAAGGACCGTAGTTGACTATGGTGGTTAGAAGGATCGTAGTTGGCTATAGTGGTTGGAAGGATCGTAGTCGTCGAGCGATGGAGGTTGGGAGGACCTTCAGTGGTGTTCAGCTAACGATCAGAAGTTTGGTGGTGGCTGACGAACAGGCGAAAGTGAGGCAATTGTTGGGAAGAACTCCGGCGGTGGTCGAAGGCGAGGAAGCTCTCAAATTCTTCACTTCTTTTTCCTCGTCTCATGAGAAGAATGTGGACTATTTATAGTTTTTTGAGAGTGACACGACTTGTAAATATGGGTATGATCAAGGTCAAGATGGGCTCATTTGATGGATGACAATATTGATCCCTTTGATGATCATGGACCATTTATTGATTATTTGAATGCCTTAATGATATCAAAATCTTGCCATCACAGCCTCGTTGGATTCATCTCGTCGAGCCGTTTGATTTGACTATAAGCTTGTCACATTTGAAATTTTTTGGGTAATCCAAATTATGATTTAAACTCCCTAAATATGTTTTAGACCCTTGATTTGGACTTGGATTTGACTATTTTGATGTCGTTGGTTGGATTTTTCTTTTCGAGAAGTTCAGTTCGACTATAAGTTTGCTGAAATCAGAGTTTGGATGATCCCAGATTTAATTTTGGAAGCTTTCAATTCAAATTTGTGCCCGATCGAGATAAATTTTTTATGGAATATCAATATTATATATAGAAAATTTTATATTTACTTAAGTATGATTTAAGTGTTTAAATTAAATGAAAACACATGCTTAAAATTGTGTATTTTAATTTAAATGTCTAAACCTAAACTTTAATACCCATTACTAATAAAATTAAGTTTGATCGAGTATTTGGGAAATTACAAAGCTTTTCTTGGATTATTAGTTCAGATCTTTGGCTACCAACCAACAAGTTTTGGGTTCAAATCTTACGTATGTGATATACATTTGAATTTATCTTTATTGACTCAAAAGTCTACAAAAAAGCACTTGAAAAATTTTGCTCCTTTTAATTGGACCGTGCTTGACCATACTAACCTACTCATTTCAACCCAAATGGATATTGGTGATCATTGATCAACTATCATAAAAAAGTTTTTTACTTTCTAATTTTAATAATTTTTTATTCATTAATTTGCTGGAATTGCCAATTTAAAAACTTTTATCAAAATAATTTGATCAAGGCTTTTAACATAAAATTTAGTAGATGGGTGCTAAATACTCAAAAGTTAAAAATCATTAAAAAATAAAAAATTTCAATTAACTAATTTTTATTTATGAGTCTATTTTGGATAGCTTTTTTTGTTGTTGTTTTCTCATTGTTTTCAATTTTTTTTTGATAAAAACTATTTTTTGTACTCAAAATAAGTAAACCAGGCTTTGTTTGGGACGACTTTCTTACTGTTTCTTAAAGTAATTTTCTAAAATATAAATTAAAAGTTTTGTGCTAAAAAATTACTTTCTGATGCAATAAAAATCGTCCCAAATGAAGCCTTACTTTTCCCAAGTAACTGGATAACTTACTTTATAAAATGCTACTACCGTCTCAAATAAATCCTAACAAATGAAGCCTTACTTTTCCCAAGTAACTGGATAACTTACTTTATAAAATGCTACTACCGTCTCAAATAAATCCTAAAATAAAATCATAAAAAAAATTAGTAGATGGGTGCTAAATACTCAAAAGTTAAAAATCATAAAAAAAAATTAAAAAATTTCAATGAACCATCCTTTTAATTGGACCGTGCTTGACCATACTAACCTACTCATTTCAACCCAAATGGATATTGGTGATCATTGATCAACTATCATAAAAAAGTTTTTTACTTTCTAATTTTAATAATTTTTTATTCATTAATTTGCTGGAATTGCCAATTTAAAAACTTTTATCAAAATAATTTGATCAAGGCTTTTAACATAAAATTTAGTAGATGGGTGCTAAATACTCAAAAGTTAAAAATCATTAAAAAATAAAAAATTTCAATTAACTAATTTTTATTTATGAGTCTATTTTGGATAGCTTTTTTGTTGTTGTTTTCTCATTGTTTTCATTTTTTTTTTTGATAAAAACTATTTTTTGTACTCAAAATAAGTAAACCAGGCTTTGTTTGAGACGACTTTCTTACTGTTTCTTAAAGTAGTTTTCTAGTATAAAAGTTAAAAGTTTTGTACTAAAAAATTACTTTTTGAAGCAATAAAAATTGTCCCAAATGAAGCTTTACTTTTTCCAAGTAACTGGACAACTTACTTTATAAAATGCTACCGCCGTCTCAAATAGATCATAAAGTAAAATCATAAAAAATTAGTAGATGAGTGCTAAATATTCAAAAGTTAAAAATCATAAAAAAAAATTAAAAAATTTCAATGAACCAGTTTTTATTTATGAGTCTATTTTGGAACTTTCTCGTTTTTGTTTTCTCATTGTTTTCAGAATTTTTTTTTTATAAAAAATTATTTTTTGTAATCAAATTAAAGCAGATATTTTTTGGGATGACTTTCTTACTATTTCTTAAAGTAATTTTTTAGTACAAAAATTAAAATTTTTGTACTAAAAATTTACTTTGAGAAGCAATAAAAAACCGTCCCAAATGAAGCCTTAATTTCCCAAGTAACTGTACAACTAACATTATAAAATGCTACAACCATCTCAAAGCTTATGTAAATCCTTTATAGTATACAAATTCAAACTAAGCCTAAACCTAGACTTTAATGCACATTACTAATAAACTTTCTAAAATTAAGTTTGATCGAGTATTTAGGAAATTATAAAGCTTGTCTTGATTTATTAGTTGAGATTTTTGGCTACCAACTAACAAGTTTTGAGTTCGAAGCTTACGTATGTGATGTGTATTTGATCTTACCTTTATTGACTCAAAAGTCTACAAAAAAGTAATTGAAAAATTTTGTTCCTTTTAATCGGTCAGTGCTTGACCATACTAACTCATTTCAACCCAAATTGATATTAGTGATCATCGGGGTTGTTGCAACTTAGTTTTCATAACTATGTTTTTATTTCATGTGTATATCAAAGCGCCCATAACCCATGGGTAATCTATCGCATAAATCACATGTAAACTAAAAATAAAAAGCACAATAATGAAATAAACATCACACCAATCATAATAAATCACATCAATCAACACGTGCCACATGGAGCGCATCACATCACAGAAACATAAAAGTAAAACATCAGACTTACCTAGAGCTAGAAGTGATGTCCTAAAAAATCTATATGTGCGTAGTAGGCTCGTGTGGCTTTGGATGGGTCCTATGTTGGGTAGTTTATTCAAGTTGTTTTGTGTTAACATTTGTTGAAAGATAGAATGAAAAATTTGATTAAGGTTTAAGTATTAATGAATTAGGGTCAATTTTAGTTAATTTAGTTGGTTGATCCATTTTAACGCTTAGGGTAATATTCTTTAAAGTTTAAGTTGCATTAACGGATTTTAGAAGGTCCGGGGTCAGCCTACCACTAAATTAAGGGGATTCAAATGGTCACTATTAGAAACAAGCTAGGTTTAGGAGCTATATTATTTTAATTAAATATTAGACCTTACAAGAAATAATTAAACTTTGAGTTTGCTAGATTTGGAGTTTTCTAGGAAAAGATTAAACTTTGAGTTTGTTGGATTTGGAGTTTTCTAGGCAAAGTTATGAATTTTAGAAATTTCAGGCCCTAGTTAATGAAATACGGTTGACCGAAGAGTTAACTTTTTAATTTAGGCTGGTTTTTGAAAACTAATATTTTTTATAAATACTAGATTTTAATTAGATTTGAATGCTTTTTAATTTGCCAATTTGGAATTTTTTAGAATTATTTATGATTTTTCAAAGTTGGAGCAATTAATTAATTATTAAAAATTAT